ACACACACATATATACATATATACACATACGTCCACATACACAAACACATACATATACACACATATACATACACACATACTTACACATATATACACAAATACACATACATACATATATTCACATATACAATATACACACATACATCCATATACACAAACACATCCATATACACATATATACATATACACACATATACACATACACACATATATCCATACACATATACACATACACTTACACATATATACACAAATACACATATATACATATACACACATATATTCACAAAAACAATATACACACATACCCATATACACAAATACACACATACACACACATACTTACACAAACACACACATATACATATACACATATACATACATATACACACATATATGTAAAAGGAGTTCACTAAGACATCCTGAGCAGTATTCGAAGCAGATTTTACTAATCTGTGGTCAGCACAATCAACATCTTTAACATATCTGGCAGGGCATAGGAACCAGCATGTCTGACTTTTTTCAGGACCAGTTTTATGGAAACCCTGAGGTTTGTTTAAAGCACCCCCCCCCCCCCGTGCCCCCCCCCCCCCCCAGCTCATGCTGAGGCTAGTTCTGCTCTCCTGAGGCTTTTTGGAAAAGAGCCGTACCCAGGATGCAAATCAAAGTCGTATTTCATCCCTGATGTCAAACTTAATTCCTTTTAAGACCCACATAAAGGGAGGAAGAGAAGGCAGATGTTGATTTAACATCACCACTGTCCGGCATAAGCTTCTACATTAAACTCCCATCGGTACCGGAGTTAAGCAGCATCAGGCTCACTTAGGAGGCACTAAGTAAAAAGCACACTACATACAAAACAAGTGGTGTGCCCTAGGTAGCCATGAGATCCTTCCTTCAAGGCAGGATTAACCAAACACCACAAACCTCTCCCTCCAGTGTTTCCTAGCTGTTGTTAATCTAACTTTCTGCCACACAGCTAACCAGTGGGTTTTAGGGCATCTTATATCCTAAGCATTTGGCAAACACAATTAAGGCTACTAATTTGATTTTTCCAATTTGTGGGAAAAGCTGCCTTAACTCTAGCGATAATGATGATGATGATGATAAGGGGGGGTCACTGGGGTTTGTTGCGCTGTTGTTCACTAGCCCCCTGCTTCCTACGTCCCCCCGCCCCTCCAACCTTGAAATTCTTTCAGAAGCCTGGCCTGGACTTATGATCAGAAGAAAACACGTCCCAGAATGAAGCAAAGAGAAAGTCATGATTTACCCATTCCAATCGGCAAGCATCGGCCTGATTTCTATCTGTGCTCATGAATGCCAGACGCACACAGCATGTGACTGACTGCCCACTACTACGTCCCTGGACGTCTCGAGCTTTCTCAGTCTGGATGTCAGCTTCCTCCAAATGAGCCTTCCGAGTCTCTGCTCTCTGCTTACAACTGCCCTCCCCCAGCGGTTCCATTACTCATGTAAACACAGAGCCGTGACTAGCCCCAAGTGTGGGAGTGTGGGATGAGCCCCTGGCGTTGCCAGACTGGCAGCGAGGCTGCTCCGGCACTCTCCACCTTCTTAATGGGGCTGGTGATTTCATCCTAATTGTTTTGTTGACTCTGACCTCTTGCACCAAGCCCAGCTAGGACTCCATGCCACGTTCCATGAATCTGACACCCCAGAGAGCCCTGAGCCAAGGTGTTTCATATCTCATGTAGGCGACACCTTAGAGGAACAGAAATGTTCCTGAGAAGTGGCCTAAGAGCTAACGTTATGCCTGGGATGTACTAGGTACGCTCCAGCGTCAGGCACCAAAATAAAGTCAAAGCAGAATGCAATGGAAAACCTGGCCCGGGGCCTGAAGCATCTCTTTAGAAACACACACAACTAAACAGACGAAAACAACAACACCCCACTGCCCCAAAGCCTCCTGTCCTTAGTTCTCCTACAGTTCTAACAAATACCCTGTTCCTGCCTGCCAGGGAGGGGCCACCTGTCTGTAAACCAGGACCAAGAGAGGGCAAGACGGGCCAGGAGTCGGCGGAAGAATAAGCCACTTTCTGCCTTCCTCAAGTTGCTTAAACATTTGGAACAGCACAGGAAGTCGCAAACTCAACAACAAAGTAGGAGTTTGCATCCAGTTCCAAGAATTCAAACAAATAACAAATAAAAGAATTAATTTTTAAGTGGGACAAGAAGATTCGAGGAAAAACTTGTCATCTTTACAAAGTTAGGGAGTGCAGGGGATAGAGCAATGGAGCTGAACTCAAGGTTTGTCCTTGGACACTTTCTAGGTGTATGACCCTGGATAAGTCACTTAACCTCTGTCTGCCTCAGTTTTCTCTTCTGTTAAGATGGGGATAGCACAGCACCCACCTCCCACGTTGTGTGGATAAAATGAGATAATATTTGCAAAGTCCTTTGAAAACCTTAGAAATGCTATGTAAATGCTGGATATTGAACCATCAATCCTTTAACAAGTGGCACTATTTTCTGTTTGCTATGGCATGATGGAAAAGTTGTTCTTTTTCTTTATCTGCATTGGCTGTGACTGCCAACGTGACCATACTGGGTGATATTCCTCCTACTCCTTCCCAGTCCCAACCCACCTGTTGCCTACATAGTTGAAAGAATGGAAGAAAATGAATCAGTTAAATATATGTTGAATTTGGGACAATAGAAAGGGGTATGAGGATTGGTATTGGAAAGTGTGTCATGTGAAAATTCTACTAGAATTGCTGGGCCCCAGAAGATCAAATTAAGGGAAAAGCTATAGAAGCCCAGACTTTGACTGGGAAAAACTTCCTAAAATCACAATGGGCTGCTTCAGTAGGGAGTGAGCTCCCTGCTACCAGAGGTCTCCAAACAGAGTCCGAATGACTACTGACTAGGGATATGGTAAAGGGTCATCAGCTCAGGTGTGGATTGGAGTGAGTGGCCTCTGAGAGACCGTGATTGTACAACAGTTCTCAGTTGCTGGCTAGATGTTCAAATAAAGTCCAATATGGTGGCTGTTCAAGGTTCTGCTCACCAGTGGCTACTGGAAGGGTCATCTCAAGCCTGGTGAATTTCTGTCATTCTCCCAAAATACTACCTTAAGTGACACTGAGCCAGAGACCACTCCAGCTTCAGGGATTGGTCTGAGATCTGAGACCATCTTTTGATAAAAATATGTCAGGAAGTGTTAGAAACAGCATATTCATGCAGGGTGGGCCAGGCCTTTCTTTTCTAGATATACAAGAAGTATACATGTGTGCGTGTGTGTGTGTGTGTGTGTGTGTGTGTGTGTGTGTGTGTGTGTGTGCAAGTTACAGGGGGAAAAGGGGAGCAATTTCAGCCTTTAATTATTCTACATCAAATGACTACCCTTATTAGCTAGCTGCCACATAGGGTCCTGAGACAAATTCAAATTCTGCCTCAGACATTTACTAGCTGTGTGACCCTGGGCAAGTCATTTAACCTCTCTCTGCCTCAGTTTCCTCAACAATAAAATGGGGGTAATAAACAGCACTTATCTCACAGGGTTGTTGTGAGGGTCAAATGAGACAATGTTTGGTAGTACTGAGCACAGTGCCTGGCAAACAACAGGTGCCAAATAAACACTTGTTCACTCTCCCCTCCCCCAACTCCCTACCACCATCACTAGCTCAAACCAAGCTACCCTAGAGCCCTGACACACATATCCTCCTTAATTATAGCAGCCGGAAATTCCATAACACAGGGGCTCTTAACCTTTTGTGTGTGATGGGCCCCTCTGGCAGTCTGGTGAGACCTATGGACTGATTCTCAAAATAACATTATTAGATGCATAAAATAAAATACACTACACAAAGAAACTGGATTACATTGAAATCCAGTAACCAAAATATCTATCTATCTATCTATCTATCTATCTATCTATCTATCTATCTAT